CTTTCGATCATGATCCCAACCACTACAAGCGAAACCATCCTCGTCCGAAGCGATATTCACGACAGTGGCGTCCATTAATTATTATTATGGTGGGTGCAAAATTCCTATAACGCAAAAAGGGAAACGAAAAGTGCAACAAACCAATTTTCGTAACGTCATGCTTGGATGGTGCGAATTTTAAAATATAATTGGGTGGTGAATCGAATTGGGTGGTCCACAACAATTGAAAATTATACCTTTGGACTTGTTTATAATGAAATCATTGAGAACGTGGTTATGCAGGAAGTTTCCTAAACATGAATGGACAATCTGTTGAGTCATTTCTGAGGTGTTCCCATGAACATTAGCCGAGAAATGCTCCTTCAGAAAGTATACCCTGAGGACGGTTTTCCATCAATATTTCCGAAACTGTTCATCCAAAATCATGGAATTCGGTGCTTCGCATGAAATTTTATTGCTGATCAGAATTTAAGCTTGAAATTTCCAAAATCTCAATCAGGAGCGTACTATACTGAATGATTTAAGGGTAAAAGCAATCTCATCTTCTCATGGTGGTTTTTTTCTATATTCTGATGTCAGAATAACACCGGCACCTCAGGAACCTGTTTTTCCCGTTCTTTTCGAGACCGATAACAATGAACGAGACAATGAAGTTTTTGAAAATCGGTTCAATACACATTCTTTTGACGCCAACTCAGATTCTAAGCTCAAATTTTCAAAATTTCCGTCACACCGAAGTTGTTTGATGTAAAATAAACCTTTCACTATGGTACGTCCCAGATTGAAAATGTGATGTCCCAAATTCCATGATTTTTTGATGAACGGTTTCGAAAATAATAAGGGAAGCATGCCATATATTTATAAAAAACAACTTTTCTTCATACCTCAACAATCAATAAACGGATTTTCTTCAATGTTTAGGAAATACTCTGTACTCTAGGCGAATGGCTCTTGTAATGAAATTGAGGTTTTCAAAGGAAGGCATGTTAACTGATTCAGTTCAGTTCTACACCTTTTCCAATTTGAGTTCAAAAAGAGTGAAGTTGATTTCAAAAAGTATCAATTTTATTTCGTATAAGACAATATAATTTCTGAAAGTATCAAAAGTATTTCAAAATTATCATTTCAAATTCAAAATGCGTCAATTGTATTTCAAATTAGTCATTCTAATTTCGAAAAATTCTATTTCAATTTCAAAATTCATCATTTCAATTTCAAAACTATTCATTTGTATTGATGATGCCACAACGACAGGAACCAGAAGTCAGAAGCGTTCCATAATAACATAATGAATGAAAATATCACCTAACGCCAATCTAACCTTTGCCTGAAATACATTCGATTTTTTTTTAAATACAAATGACCATTTTGGAATTTGAAGTGTTAGTTTTTGAAATTAATTTGATAATTTTGAAAGACAATTGTTATTTCATGAAATTGAGATGATTCATATGAAATACAATCGACGCCTTTTGAAATTAATAATTTTGAAATGCATTTGATACTTTTTGAAATTACATTGACCAATTTGAAATACAAATGATTCTTTTTGAAATCCAAATGACAATTCGTAATTACAATGGACGATTTTTTAACTAAAATTGAAAAGAGTGTATTAAAACATTCCAGTTAGTTCAGATTAAAAGAAAAACACTATTATCTGCATATATTTGTGTCAAATCTCTGTAGGAGATTTAATGGAGGTTCTATGGATTCGTCCATTGAAACGTCCCTGGTCGAACCAGGGATGTTTGTGCTAATAAAACCTGGCACAATACAAGCAGAAGGGCAACATCGATATACACACACAGGCCTGCCAGGGGGCGCTGCGCTCTTGTTTACCTTCAACTGTTTATTGCGTCCGGTCGCGGCCACCTTATATTAAACGTTCGCCGGATATTATCCTTCGGCTTTGCCGATCAGAAAATGATCAAAGATGTCGCTGGAAATGTCCTTTTACTGTTATATCGATGTGTGTTCAACGGGGAATCGCGAGACTATCTGAACGGTTATTGGGTAGGAAATGACAGCGTTTCCATGTTTCCAACATCGGAGTTGAGAGTATTTTCTTACGTCGATCGGTTGATGGTCGTTGGTTTTTATGTATATTGGAAGTGACAAAATGTCCCATTTGTTGTTTATTAGCCACTTGGTTTCGTTATTTTCAACTATAATAGAATTATAGGATGTTATGGCATCACTAGAAAGTGTTCCATTCTAAGAGATCTTGATGGTTTGCCATAATAGTATTCAACGATAGAAAAAAGGGAAAAAATCACAATAGCTTAGTTTGAGTCGGAATTTAACTAACTAACTTCTTATACATTTCGAGTCGAATTAAGGAACTAGAAAAGCTTTTCCTGAAAAAATCGGTTCACATTAGGTATACCCCACAATATCTCTGGGTCTACAGAATTCGGGTATGCCGTTCCTAGTTTTTCGCCAAGATGCATATTACATTTTTTCGTCGACCTATAACACTTATATCCACATCAGGGTACAATTCACACGTGAAATCTATCGGATTTTGTGAAAAATTGATTTGACAACAGCAAATGACAGTTATTGTCAAGCCACTCTCCGCGTGGACCAGGGTGCCAGTTCGATTTTTATTTCATCAGTTAATACCTTGTCAAAAAATCAGATCTTTTCTATGCTATACGAATTATGTACTTTTAGTAAGAAGAAAATAAACCAATCTCCAACAAAATAAAAACAAACAAAACATTCTCATAAAATTTTATCATATACCTAATTTTCAATTTAAAAATACGCACAAATATCACAAACTACAGTTTTATAGATACTTATATGATTTGAGTTCATAGAAAACAGGGACGAATAGTAAAAATGAACAACAAAAATACAAAACAAATTAAAAAAATAAATATATGAAACGAACTGTTATAACAGAGGTATATAAAAAACTGAATTTGATCTGAATCAGATGGAGTATCGTCCTTTCTTGGTTTATACATATCATTAATAACTATATTATGTGAATTCATTACTTATCTCGTAAAATTCATTTAGACAGATAGTGCTGAGATATTATGCAATTTATAAGTGAATGTGATTAACTAAAGATCAATAATATAGGTAATTTTAATAATAAAGTAGTGTCAAAATATTTTTCAGTAGGTCATGAAATGTTTCAGTAAAGTGTTTCCGTACGAAAATTTAGAGTCTGCGGACGAAAAGTACTTGCCTTCGGAAATAGTCGGTTCTTCGGTCGGAAATTATAACGTAAAATGTAATTTTTGGCAGAAATCGGCGAAAAAATGTTTGTAAGTGTCCATTAATGACACTGTATACCAGGTGGCCACCGTTGATGTGACTTTTGTGTGATAACGATATATGATTTCGAAACTTTGAGAGATTTTGTGGACATCACATATTTCAATCTGTTGAAATTGGAAGTAACCTTCTATAGGGACACATTACTTGATAAGTGAGATCATGTTTTTCATAATATAGGTACAGAGTGTTCCATTCAAATATCGATAGTTTTGAAGTAAACAAATAAAATGATATTGACAAATGATATGGAATGTGATATATTTCAATATATTTCAAATGTTTGTAGATAACAAATCATTCAGAACATTTACTCTACTCATCAAGTTCAGTAAAATGTTTGTTCTCATAAATAGCTAGTTTCTTTCAATTTGGCGACTCTTCAATAATTCAATATCTCCAAAGGAGATCTGAAAAAACTGAGATTATTAAAAAACTCCCTGAATGCCTCAGAAAAAAGTAGATTATACGTATAATTTTTTTTATGTTTGTTATAATAAAGCCATTCGATTAAATGGTCCTTTTCTTCTCGTCGAGATACCTTGCCAGACAGCAAAGCAAAAATCATATGAAAAGTCTTTAATAAATACCTCTTCTCAGCTTATTACATCCAGGGAGTTCGTTACACAGACAGACAGGCAGACAGACATACAGAAAAGCTCGTCTACAATATCACGAGTGATATTTACAAGCTTACTGCTTGAGAACGTCTTTTGACGATTAAATGGAGACCTATTAGATTGCGAAAATGTCGCTATATAAAGAGTTAGTTGTACAGTTCATCATGTACCGAAATGAAAAATGCTATGATAGTTTCTTGATTACTCTCTTGTTGGTGATACAGTGTGTCTCACTGCTAACTTCTGATTATAACACCCCTGAAAGAGAGCTATCATCAGGGGAGATTTTATTTCAAAATTTCACAATAACTCCGTTAGTTTTAACAGCTTGAAATCTTGTATTTCTAGGCTTTCTCGTTCAATTTCACATGAAATTGTCTAACGTCAACGGTTTTTGTGCTATTTGCTCTTGAATAGATTTATATTCCAATCATAACATTTCAATAATTATTTTATTTATTGAAATAAGAATTGGAAATCCCTGAACTATAGATTGTAAACACCCAAATATAAGGATTCAGCCCAACATGTCTAATAAAATCTCCTCCTTAACCACCCTGTATCTCTTAAACCAGCAATATATTTATGAGGCATATTAGGCTAAATCTTCATATTTGGGTGTTTACTATCTGTAGTTCGGAGATTTCCCATTGTTAATATATATTAATAGTAATGTGGATGTGCTGTTTTCTAATCAGTAGGGATTTTTAAGCTATCGCCCAGTAACATGGGTGATTCCATGACCACTGGCGAGCAGTGTATGTCACTGATGATAATCCCATTAGAATGAGCATATCTTCGCTGGCATTCTTGCTCTCTCGCAAATTCCAGAATCCTAGGGTCCCTTGATGGAAATTGACGTTAAAGTCATCATCACAGATCATAGCTGCATTCTTTTTTAATGATCTAGAGTCTTTAGTTTTGTCTACTGGCATCCCTGACATTGCTGTCACGTCACATCCATGGGCGCTACAGAAAATCATTCAAAATTTACGTCAGTTTGCATCCTAAGTCCATAATTCGCTCGTATTCAAAGTGAGACTTTTGGTCCATGGGCTTGATTCCCTGTTGTATTTCTTCCAGACCGAAGACGAAGGAAACCATGGCAACGACGACACGAGATGCTTCATCCTGTCAACGTTGGCGTCTCAAGGTCGTTCCAAAGTGCAGTGCGTCCTTTGCGAGGAGCAACTGCTCGTCTTCGACAGATACCCCTTGGTCGATGGCACGTTTTTTCTCAGTCCAAGACAACATGCGAAAAGTTGCATTGAGGTAAGAACAACTACACACCTTTTCCAGTTGTATTTCAGGAAGCGTCAATCGTATTTCAGAAGAGTCAATTGAATTTCAGAAAGCTCAAATTGTATTTTCACAATTTTCACAAAATTAGTTCTGAATTTACGGTGAAACTGCATTCATCATCTGATGTTTTTTCTTTTTCAAAAATTTTATCTGCCAATAGATTTCAATTACCATCATCATAGAGGTCCGTAGAGGACCAATAGAATGGACTGCCGGACTTGGCACTCGATGATTTCTTCCTATGGGGTTATTCAAAATCGGTAGTTTATAAAACGGAACCTACTGACCTCGATGATTTGGAGAGAAGAATAAGAACTGAATGCCAGGCAATATCAATAGAAACATTCTCAAAAGCATACCATTCGAACTCGAATATCTCGATAACGACTTGTTCGAATTAACTTTCCACTGCTGGCTTCAGAATTGAAATACCTTCGCAATGGTGTATAACACGACCCTTATTCCCTATTGAGGGGGTTTCTCTGGGAAGTATAGGATTCAAGTATGGATTATTTATTTTGCGTCAAAAGGTGTCCCCCTTCATATGAAAATCAACGTGTTCCGTCATTTTTTTGTAAAATAATAATTCATAATTCGTTGAGTGGAAAGTCTAGGAAAATAAAGGACGATTTCTTGTCCTGGCCGACATATTGAATTTAATCAAACTAAGTAGATCTGAAGAATTGATAAGACCATCGATCAATTTAAATCGGAAATACATATCCAACACTAATATACGCTTTTGTAAAGTTAGGAGATTGAGTTCCATAAAGATTTCTGGGTAGTTCATATATTATGAGCAACTGGCTATGGCTCTGAACTATCAATATGTATTTGATAAAAAGCTGTCCAAATGATGGGAACATACTATTCCTGATATTTAAAATTTCTGGTCATGAGATGATGTAGAGGCTGAAATTGAAAATTTCAATAATGTTTGTTTCAGGTGAAAGTCGAAGGTCGCACCCAATTCCTCACGGTCGTCTGCATGGGTTGTTTGGAGGGTGTCAACGGTAGAGGTATCGCCTGCCGCTTCTGCAACCAGAAATGGGACGGTTCCTCCCTGGTGCTGGGCACCATGTACTCCTACGACATCTTCGCAGCTATGCCCTGTTGCACCGAGAGAATAAAGGTGAGTGTACACTTGTACAGGCTGTCCCATTTTTTGATGTCCTTACGGGATATTTCACTCATTTTCAAAGATTAGCAATTACAGACCGATCGCACTGCTATCTATTATTTCAAAGATCATAGAGAAAGCTATCAACATCGAGCTCATGAAATACCTGGAACATTCAGGTATTATCAACGATAGGCAATATGGCTTCCGTCATCAGATATCAACTGGTGACCTGAATTTCCAGGCTATATGCCACGACAAACATTGAATCACATCTAGTGAACACACACGATAAGAATTTGAAAACAAAAATCATTCGTATCCCATAGTCCCGTTATTCTTTCAGCCTTTCTTCATGATATACACAATTTTCACCTCCCTATAATATAACTAAAACTATAACGGACCGACATCTAAGAATTATAATTTGGTGACATAACCACTGTCATCTGGGCATTTGTTTTTGAATGTATGATGAATTGATTTTAATTTTCGATTTTCCATCGTTTCCAGTGCAACTCCTGCTACAAGCCTGTCCTGCACCCTGCCCAGCGCCTCAACTTCTTCAGCGACTACAGCCACATGGTGCCCTGCCCGCACTGTCGCACCCTCGACACCCACTTCGTCAAGCCCTTGGGCTTCTGCTACAGCCGCCAGATGGCGCGCGCCCTGCATGTCGCGTGGCCATAGCGATCGGCCAAGGCGGCCACGCCGACGATTACGCCCACGCCCAAAATTGTGCCCGCGCCCATGTTTGCGCCCACTCCCACACTTGCACCCTCGCCCATGTTTGTGCCCACGCCCACGCTTGCGCCCCGGCAGCCGGCTAGGTGCCCGGATCCGGATCCGCTGGATTTGGATCTGGGCGTGCTGTGGCGCGAGTTGGCCGGTATCAGGCTAGACGAGTTCTGCAGGCTGCAGTTGACCAGGGCGCGGTAGACGGTTTTTAGTTTTATTTGTTGTTTTTTCAGTTTATTTTTTTTGTGTGGGGGAGCTTCGTTCGTTCTGATCTTGCGGGGGTTGGGTCCCGAAAACCTAGAAATTATCATTCGGGATGTTGTAAGTACAACCTTGTAGAACTATGGTGTCAAAAGATTCAACGTCAGCCCAGCAAATCTTTCATAATCCAACGTTAACTTTTTTTCAAACAGATGTTTTGAGTGTATTTCAGCTTTCAATAAATCTGAGAAATAATAACTTCATCTGATGTGAACTTCCAAGGGAGGAGCTGAAATTGCACTTCCAGTATAGTTCAGAACCAAATAAATAATGCGCAGCAGGTGAAATGTTTGTTCACAGGTATCACTAGCTACATATTCCAGTCCATTTTATGACAATGCCGAAAAATAATCACCCAAGATTATGGAAACTTTTTTTCTATACATATTTTCATTTTTCAGAATACATGTTTGATGCCTGTACTGATTTGAGGGTGTACGGTATTTAAAACTTGATAACAATTTACAGTGGGTAGAAAATGAGAAATCATCGATTCCAATTTTTATTCTTATGGTTCAGCCCAGCTTTCTAGTAAACCAATTTTTCGATAATTTTGTAGAACACCTTTTTTCTGAGAAGTTACGTTTTTGAAATGCAAAAATTACATCGAGAGTTGTTCATAATGGCTTCCAACCAAAATACCAAATTTCATAATTCTTTCAAAAAATTTAATAATCATATTCTGCCGCGAAAATCTATGATGTATCTGGGAAAAATCACTTGTTATGTGAAAAATGGCAATACCAGGCAAAAATTGCTTACTGATTAAAACGAAATCATCTGTTGAACGAAACAAAACGCATTAGATGAATAATTTATTATTAAGTTGAAATTTACTCAAAGTCTCAGCGGTTTATTTTGAATAATACCTAATAATCCCCATTTTTATGCAATCCCCGAATCATCAGAATGGATGATATTCTTTGTTATGTTGTTGCATTTTTTATATCGCATTTATTTGAGGGACATAATGGAGGATGAAAGATTAAATGAAAGACTATTGATTGGTTACGTACTAAATTTCACAGTTCTCAAGATCAAAAAGTTCAACAACAAAAATCATTAGAATATAACTTAATTTATTCGTAACAAGGAAATATCTCTGATGCTATGTCCCTAAATATATGTGTACAATATAAAACACGTTATGTTATTAGTTTATTGAATATGTTTGTTAGTCTTTAGTGAATTTATATTTCAAAACTTGAGTCTTTTATACGAAAGTGAATGACAATTGTGATTATAACCGTTATATATATTATTATCTTTTAGTTCGAATTTTTGACGCAAAGTGGGTCTACGTCCTATGAAGACGTTAAATCTATATTATGTATAAGCAATCCTGTTTTTCTGTGTTTCTTAGGTAGATTTTCTAACGTTAGACTTGCACCTGTGTTGGTATTTCACGGTTCATACTTAATAGTCATAAGTTAAACGGTATATAGTAATAATGATACATAACATAAATTGCTGTGTCCCAATAACTAGTGATAAGCGTAAAAGATGGCGCGATAGTCGCGTGCGAATGAGAGAAATGTGCGATAGAATCCTGTTAATCAATCGTTATCGATGTCATTTTGATGGGTTAGAGAGGGCATATGGTCACGTGGTCTAATGATACTCCTCCACCAGATACAAGTAGCCACCCAAACTTAATTATGTTGACGCTTTTGTTTGAGTACGGCCACTGTGACAAGCACTGACAGTTAAGCAAAGCAACAAATGTCCCGGTGTCTCTCTGATATAACTCAAAAAACACCTCCAACTGATTTATCAATTCGCTACCCTAACAACACCAGTACATCCCAGGTACATCCCTAATTTCATACTAGGACATCCCAGGGATATCCTTTGTCGAGACAAAGTACATACTAGGGACGTCCCAGGGACATCCGCTGGCCGACAAAAAAGGCATCCAAGAGAGAAAAATGATATCCCTAGGACGCCCCAAAGATATTCCAGGGACATCAACTAAAGAAAAAAAATGTTGGTCGAGTAGGGATTGAACCCGGGACCTATAGCTTATCAGGCACGCACCTTACTCCATTGGCTAATATTCCTTCTGAAGATGTATGTACTAAACAGATTCATAAACAGGAATTAACTACAGAAACCTGAATAAATACAATTTTGTTAGGATTTGGGTATAACAACTATCATTCGATCTTGGGTGTTCAAAAATGAGCGGCATTATGCGATATCTGTTTGCGAAAAATGGTTATCCCTTAAGAAGTTCTGAGACTTTATTCTTTATTTCCATAACAATTGTTTTCCGGAAGAAAAACAAACATTTTCAAGAAAATTTTACTCAATAGTTTGAAGAAATTCAATGATTGATGTGAATGGATATCAAATATTCCAGGGACACGAATAGGATAACCTATGGATGTACCAGGCGGAATGTCCACTGGACAACCACCGCGGGACAAAAAAGGAACGTACCTAGGACATCCCTGTGTTGTAAGGGATGTGACAATTTTAAAACAGCTTCTCTGATAGAATGTACCTGTGGTTCACCTGGTAATATGACATTTAATTGCAATTTCAATTCACCATCGCTGCAAACTATCGATTGAGGGATTCCAAACGTCAAATTTCAACCTGGTATTTTCAGTAGAATTTTTCAGTATCATTTCTGGTTTTGTCTGATTGCCACTACTTGTCATGTGTCCGTTCTCTAAAAATATCCAAAAATGTCGAAACAAACACGAACAATGCATTGAGCAACTCTAATAAACATCGATCATTGCTCTCTCGGTGGATTTTCATTGGGCCACGTGACGTTACGAGTCAGGGACAGTCGGTCTCCCTGCAAAAAAGCACACTGCCACATCATCCCACTGCTGCACCCATAGCCTTCAAGAAACGGACGTACAAAATACTACTCAGCCGCTCATATATCCGCAAATACCTCAAAAACTGTTCAGCAGAAAATTATCGTTCACTTTTGATGGAAAATCGAATTAATGTAACCACTGATACTACTAGAGACCAGCTCTAAAGGAATATTCAAGGTGCCAATAATTTCCATATACCTATCAAAACATTGATGTGAGGCAAACTAAGTTTTCAACATATAACGAGGTAGAAAGGTATCACTTTGAGTGAATCATATATCATAAAAAAGGCACTTTCACTGTTTAGTATCCACTATAATTCTGAAGTAGAGATTTGGAGACTATGATGAAGAGAAGTCCCAAAGCCACAAAAATATTTAGAAATATTTTTATGTGATTTTAGGGTTTTTGTGACTGATTATTTCAATTATATCATTCTCAGGTAAAATTAATCGTGAAACATTTCTGTATAAGTAGATTGAGAAGTGATACCAATTCTATGAGCATATTCGGTAGTTACAATAATGATTGAGAGTTATTAATTTTGTACAGTATAACCACCTTATTTCTTCGTAAAATCAAAATTAATTTCGAAGGAAGCAAAATCCGTTGTCGCGGTTAGTGTTATTTCAAAATCGATGCATGTGGCCAACTTAGGAAATTGCTTCAAGTACAAACCGTTCGTTACTTTTGCAAATTTTATATAACAAAATATTTACATATAATCAATTGTTGAGGGTAAACTAATTCCTAATCTCCGTTTTAGCCAAAGCTTCAAGTTTTCGTTTGTCTTTTATCGAACTGATGTGATTATCATTGACCGACTAGACATTGTTGCGCATGTGTGAGTAAACTTAAGTAAGTTTAGTATATAAGCTATCCCCCTAGCATACCTGTAGAAGAAAAGTAGACAATAGAGTGCGAAAGCTCACACTGAAGATACGAATCGTCCACCGAAACTCAGGCTTGATTTGTACATAGTGAAAATAATACAGAAGTTCGTATGAAATTCGGAGATATTCGCTTTTCGATCAAAATCAATATAATCAATATCGACCAAGAGAATATCTTTTTGGATAAAAATGGCACTGCTCATTTCAAGGGATATGACTAACGAAACACCCAGTATATTCATCGGATATCTGGAATACATATTTCCATCCACTACACGAACAACTAACATACGGATCAGAATATAATCCAGGTATGGTATGTTCCAAATAATACCCCCAGAAGAATATACTGGGTGTCTCGCTGAAACAACCTACATGTCAAATATGAAGACTGCTAGGGTGGAATTTCATGATATATAGAATCCTCACGGTGACCTTCATTTAATGTTCACAATAAAACACCCTGAATAATGTTTTCAAAAAATCGACGTCAAAATGGCGAAAATCTCCGAAATAGATCGATAAAGGAAAATATGCTTCTATACCTTTTCAACTTCTATTTCGGAATTGGTAAGTTATATTTCGGAAAAAGTAATCTCGATTTCAGAATTGGTTAGTTCGATTTCAGAAATGGTAAACTCAATTTCAGAATCGGTGAGATGAATTTCAGAGAAAGTCCATTCAATTTCAGAAATGGTAAGTTGTATTTCAGAATTGGTGGGTTCAATTTCAGAAAATAAATCCTTATATTTGTTTGAAATGTTTCCAATTGCATGTGAGATTAACAAACCATATTTACAATATTCAACTTTTCAAAAACAATTCAATAACATAATTATAATCTCAATTTGATCCACAGATGTCTTCCATCCGAATCGCAGAAGGATAGTAGCGTAGCACATGATTATAAGAATGCAAACACATTTGAGGTGTTATCATTTTCATTGAATGATCTGCACATTCTTCAAGACATCGCAGTCTGAATTCTATCTGGTTGAGCAATCTGTTCGGATCCCCAGCTATGACCCTTTGGCGATGCTTTTGCAAAAAGCTCTTCACTTCTGACTTGAAGGCACTCCATATATGTTCAATCGGATTAAACATAGGGCTGTAAGGTGCCAATCTGTAAAATATAACATCTTGAAATTCTTCCTCCATGCATATCTCTTCTATTCTTGAATGTGCAGGTGCATTATCCAGAACTACCACTATGGTATCTGCAGGATGCCCATTTCAAACGCACACTCTCCAACACCGTTCCATTCACTGTAAACAATCCTCTATTTTGCAATTGAAAACATTTCAAACATATATAGGGATTCATCTTCTGAACCTACCATTTCTGAAATACAACTTACCATTTCTGAAATTGAATGGACTTTTTCTGAAATTCATCTCACCGATTCTGAAATTGAGTTCACCATTTCTGAAATCGAACTAACCAATTCTGAAATCGAGATTACTTTTTCCGAAATATAACTCACCGATTCCGAAATTGAAGTTGAAAAGGTATAGTATTATTTCCACACGTACTATTCAGTAACAATATTTATCCGTATTTTATTGGGTAGTGAGCATAGAGCACTCTATTTCCTGCAATTGCACCCTTCCTGCTTGGCTCTAAAATATTTCTATCTGGTAGAAAGAGAATACCGCTTTTCAATTATTGTTATCTAGGCCTAACTTTCGGTCTAAATATTTTCTATTCGTACTAATCGAGATATGATCCAATCCGTTGCGACGTTTGTCGAAAAACAAAATCGTGTACATAATATTGAAATTCGAAATCGGTGAAAGTGAAACATTATTAATCCTTTTTGTCAAATTGGTTTT